TGCTCCTAATCGGGATGCTGTGTGATGTTAATTAGGGGGAAGTTACAGACTGAAATCTTAAGCAGTGGTCATGCTGAGGGAATTTTGTAGCTGCCTGTATACAGGGAAGCATATTGTTACTGTTGTGACAGCAGCAGAATGAAGCTCAAAGAAAAACAAAGCTACAAAGTAAAATAATAAGATTCTTCCAGTAATGCTGCATAAGAAAAATCATAGTTAATGACTGGGGAGGTTTAGCTGAAATTTCAATTAAAGCTTATAAAGTAATTCTGCTTTTACAGCAGATGTGGGTTTGTCTTCTGCCATTTATCAAAGTTACATAAGTTTGAATGAAATGTGGCTTAGTTATCAGTGCTGCTCAGCTCTCTGCTGAATTTCTAGAAGAAAATTTAGAAGGAACCTGTGCTAAATGTTCTTTCAACTTGGTCTGAGTCAGTTGTACCAACTTATTGATGCTTTCATTTAATGACATGCAGTTTACAGGATGTTTCACTCTGAATTTAACTCATTTGTCTGGGATAATCTAATTTACTTTGAAGAGCCTGAGAAAAAGGAAAAAGAAAAAAAAAAGGAAAAAAGAGGAAAAAAAGCACAGCTGATTGGCTGCATATACCTGAGTGGGTTAAACCCGTGTGATTTTCTGATCATATGTATATGAGTGGTGCAGGGCCCCATATTACTGTTGTATTCTAAGTGTGCCTGCAACTGTGGTATCTGAGATGGTATGGAGTCTGAAAGTAATTTACACACTATTTTCTCATTTAAACTAAATTTGGTAGAATACAGATAAGCAAATTATTTGTTTTCTGTCTTAGTGTAGTTGTGGTTTATTCTTTTACTGTAACTCTCATGATCAGCTGTTCAGAGAAGTTTCAGCATCAGACTTGAAGTGTTATTAAATCCACTGCAACCAGTGGAAAAGTTGACTGACCTTAACTTTTGCCTCTGATATTTCATTCGCCTAATTTCCTGTAATATTATCTGTTCATCTAGGCTAAATACTGAACTGTGTGGTAGATTCTAATTCTGGAAACAGCTTGATTTACAATTCTGTAGTTATCTTGTTTGATATCTGAGTAATAATATTCCTTGTATCCGGCATGACAAAAATTTTGCTTTTTGGGTATGTATGTAGACAAACATTGTTTGGTTTTATCACTACCTTGCTTGTGAGATTAACTTGCTTACTGTGTTCCCTTCTTGGATGGTAAAATTATTTCTTCCTTATCCTAGTCATGAAAACTGTTTTGTATTTGGTTTTCATTTTCCGTCCTTGGAAATATCACCGCTTCTTTGCTCTGCTTAATTTGATTTACTGTTAGTAATAAAACTGTATTGTAGTGTTTTAGTATATGGTAATGTTTCATTTCTCATAGGCCTAGATGATGTTTAAGGCATCATCCAAACCAGGCATGTTCTGTACGTATTTTTGTATTTTGCCATTTAAATGCCATGATTAGGCAACTTTTATTTTATTTATCTATTTGTATTAATTTTTGTATTTACATCTTGTAATTAATATGTGTTTGCACTTATTTGTGTTTCACATTTAAAAGTATTCAGGTCAGAGTCTGTCTCTACATCTTTGGTTTGACAGTTGCCTGGATAATAATTTTCGTGTACTCCATTGTTGAAGGCTGTTACCTTAATGCCACATATGGACAGCAGTGTGCAAAAATAGCACGTAAATGCTTTGGAAACAGCCAACTGTCTTGCATTATAAAATTACAAAAAACCACAGGATTTGCTTAATGAATTTCTTTAACTTAAATTTTTAAAGAGCAGTTCAGCATGCATACTGAATAAGTTTGTTTTGTGACTTGTGGAAGAAAATGTAATGCATTTGAGTGCCAGTATAGAGCAGGGAGAGGAGATGCTTAATCCTTGACCACAAAACATCTTCAAAAGTCTTCAAAGTTTCAGGCCTCTTCCATCCATATCTCACTGTGTGGTAGGAGAGAAGAGAAACAAAAAATGAAAACCATAAAGGGTCTTTTAGAAAGAAATGCGAGTCCACCTTTATGCTCCAGGC